CGCAGCATTATTCGTTGAGACTATTGATAAGCTTTTGGTTAGAATGATTGATACGATTAATCCTCAGAGTAACTAGATGCATGTGGATTCGACAGGAAAAAATATTGCTTACCTTTCGAAGCCATGCCTGTCGAACGAGCGATCCGGCAACTCTGGGGGCCAGCGGGTGTATGCTTGAAATGTAAAAATGGCGCGAAACTATCTGTCTCCACTTGAAAACTGTCTCCAGTTGAAAACCAAACTACTGATGTTTATTTTAACTATCGGACATTTTTTTGACGATAATATTTACAGTATAGTCAAACGATATTATTGGAAAAAAAAATGTGAAAAAAAAATTGACTCGAACTTGACTCGTGACTCGAACTTGACTCGGGCTCGAACTTGACTCGTGCTACGATCAAACTCCAATTTGCCACTGATAGTTTGAGTTACGTAAGGAAATACCTTCCATGGTAACGACATTCATTCAGCAAAACTCGCCAGCTTTGAAATAAAAATCTCAGTGCTTCTTTATTATTGAATAACCATTCTGTAGCAGCACTTGTTTGTAGCTTAAGACCGCGCAAGATTCATGGATGCTACAAAAATCTTAGACAGGCTTATTCTGGAAATCTTGTTTGTCTTTACTTCATTGTATTGTATCGTGAAACTGAAAACGAAATTTACAGAATTAAAGAAAGCAAGTAACCAAAAACAAACATATCAAAACGGTGAACTAAAAAGCGAACTTACAAGGTTGGAGTTGACCTTGTAATGTCTTCATACGACCCTTCCTGCTTGATTATGTAAATTAGGTTGTTTTTATGCTAACCAGTATTTTTAAGCATAATTTCCGCAAGAAAAGGAAGGAGGTTTGTATCAAAAAAGGTCAACCTCAGCTTTGCATTTACTCAAGGCTAGGATACTAAGCCCATAACTGTAACATGGCATATCTGAACTTTGCCTACCTTTGGCAGTGAAATTGTGAAAACAAATGCCATTAGCATTTAATTGAGGAAATGACAAGAGCAATGAAGTTTGATAACTACATGTACAGTAAAAACCAGCATGTACAAGTAGTGGTTTACTTAAAAAACCTACAAGCAGAAATGATCCATTTTAATGACCAATAATACAAGAACCTACATGTTTTAAACCAAGAAAGATCAAGCAGGCTCTTATATTTGGTTTATAGTTTAACTATGATAAACTATAGAGATACAATTATGGATTTTAGAACTGAAACAAAAACAGTATTTATTTTTCTGCTGCTTAAAGACTATAATATTATATCTTTCATAGAGAAAAATGGACCTAATTTAACCAGAATTTACTAAGTATGCATAAATATTAATTTCCAATAACTATCCAAAGTACAAGAACCTATTTTGCCAGACAGTCAACTTCCTTTAAAGTGGACACTATACGGAGCTTGAGTTAGTGTCTTCATTAGTGATAGTCTATAATAGCGGAAGTTCATTTCAGTCAAACGTCTGCAATTTATTTTTGCTTGGTATTTAGCTGCCGTCCATATTATCAGGGTGTTCCTTATAGCAAGGTGTCCACAAGGCGAGAGTTCACTGAATTTCAAAAAGGAGGTTCATCAAACTTGCAGGTTTTTACTGTAAGTTAAATAAAGTAAGGAGACTTAACAAAACAATATTGCTAAAATGAAATAATTCCAAGAACTTACTTTTTTGCTGAAAAACTGGCTTTTGGAGTAATACCCCTTTCAACACAAGCCCTAATCCCAATCTCAACTTAAGAACGTTTTTATTTGTTAGGTGTGGCCACATAGTAGACCCTTGTCCACACAGGTTTATTACAGCAACGGCCAGTTCATTTGTTATGCGTGGCCACAAAGGCCCTCAGCAACACAGGCTAATTACGGCATAACGGCACTTTAATTTGTTATGCATGGCCACAAAGGCCCTCAGCCACACAGGCTGATTACAGCATAACGGCACTTTTATTTGTTATGCATGGCCACAAAGGCCCTCAGCCACACAGGCTGATTACAGCATAACCGCACTGTTTTGGCCATGCTTGGATATGTACAATTCNATGGCCACAAAGGCCCTCAGCCACACAGGCTGATTACAGCATAACGGCACTTTTATTTGTTATGCATGGCCACAAAGGCCCTCAGCCACACAGGCTGATTACAGCATAACCGCACTGTTTTGGCCATGCTTGGATATGTACAATTCATCACATCATAGGCATTAGGGCTATCTTATTGATATGACTGCAAACAAAACACCACCATGCTAAGGCTTTCACCTCTGAACCAATTGTCAACACTTAGACCACATGTTTCAACGATGATCTTGAGACTGAGCCCACTCTACGAGTCTGAGAGAGGTTTCCTCCCTATATGCTGGTGCTAAAACCCTTCTCTGCTGACACTGAGTTGCTAAGACATGCAGTCTCTCAATCTCCACTGCTCTAGCTCTTGTAGTTGGAGTGTCCACAAGTCTGAATCTGTCATTGTTTATCAATACATCTTCATGAAAAGCAAAATCAGGATCTCTTCCTTCCCCACCTGCTGCTTTTGCTCTTGACAATGCCACAAATAGAGCTCCTGGGTTTCTGGCTTCAAAGCCATGGTCCCCAGGGTGAACCACTACATACCTGAATGCTTCTCCACTGCCCACAGTCATCCTTTGGCATTTGTGGATTGTTGTTCCTCATGCCAGTCGCAATGGAACCTGCAGACGCTTGCATCGGCATGTGCAATCAGTGGAACGACTTACCGGTACAATTGGCACAACTGTAGGATCTTCATTAATGTACAGTGGTCCCCTAGACCCTGGAAACCTCACCAGAACAACATCGGGTACTGGAGCAGGATCATCAGTAGGTCTGCCGCCATCTTTGTACACAATGTCCACAACTGTGCTTACAGCCCCATTGTACATACCCCAGTCAGCCTTTAAGTTAACTACCAGCATGACTTTGCTGTTACGGCAAAGATACAGTAGAGGTAACAATCCTCCCACCTTATTACTGTCGGCCTTCACTGCATGTCTGCCATTGTGAACTGCCTTGATCTTTGCTACTGGGTGGTTTTGCTGTCTGTTACACTCAAGCAGCTTTGTTTTTTTACGCTGCCATCAAAGATGGTGCGTGGGAAATACATACAGACCTTGCTCATCCATCCTAGCAAAGAGTTCTGGCCCATGTGACATGCGTAGATTGTGCCATTGAAACTGTTGGATTTGGACAATGGATTTGCTGGGGTGTTGTCGTATAATTTCTTAGTGACATCAGCACATCTCTCAGCTGTTATTCAGATTCATTCTGCCATATTATCTGAGTAAGCTCAACAGCGCTATCAAACATTGTCCAAACCAAGCAACCGTGGTTAGATGGTGCACTATGACAATCTGAGATGTACACGGGTGTGTCACACATAGGGGGAAGCTGAACATCATCTCCCATAAACACTGCCACAGGAATCCTTCCCCATAACTGATCTGCATTGGCTCCTTTGTTAATTGCAGAACGTGCATGCTGTTCCATCCAGCCATTGTTGTACATCCAATCATTGAACGTTCATCCCCAACCAGAACTTTCAGATTTTTGCACTTTTTCTGAATTTTCTCTAGTAAGGGACCCATAGGTACAGTCAACTCATTGCGAGGCCTTCCTCCTGTTGGTACTCCAAGAAAGCTGTGAGCTGTACTGCCTTGAACGAGATAGGCAGCCTTCCCCATTGGAGTTATCACCTGTATTGCATCGTTGGCTTCAAAAAGTTGCCGCACTAACCTCTGGAGACACTTTATGACATAAGACTTTCCTGTACCAGCAGTTCCAGAGACAGCAAGCCGCAGTGGAAGGTAATATTCAGTGTTTTCAGCAAAGTTGTACAGGGTGTACAACACAAGCCCCACTATGGCTTTCTGATTCTCATTTAGAGACTATGGACTCACCTGAGGTAAATCGAGGTCTGTACTTTCTGTCTCTCGTTCCTCATCTGCTTTAATGCTTTCTTGAAGCCATTTTGTTGGGTCTTTTCCTTCAGGGAGAATAATAGGGGTACTGCTCCAGTAATAGTCCTCCCCACCATCATCATAATCAAAGTCCCTCTCTACACCCTCATACCTCTGGTTCTGCCCTGCTAAAACATCCACCCAGTCTGGCTGTTCTTCTGCTTCAACAGGATCATCTTCCTCATCCTCTTCAAATACTGGTTCTTGTGGGTGGTCTGCAAAACGCTGTACCTTAGCAACTTGGGCCTTCACAACTGTTGGACAGTCATCACTTGTAAAAAAAGTCCTTAAGGCGATCAATCCAAGATTCAGCATCCCCCTTCACTTCTTGGATGTCAAACCAGCTTGGCCAGTGTAACAGGAGCGTGGTCCTACAGTAGTCTTCATTCAGTGGCCATGTTGCATGCGTAGAACCACCACTTGCAACAGGAACTTACCGTTCTTCAATGCAAAGTGGTACCAAGAACAGTGTTCATCTTGCGGTCGTGCAAGGTACTTATCCAGTGGGGTGCTGCGAGTTGCAGTTTCACCATCATGTTCACGTCTCCTTGACCCTGACAAGTAGGTAACTGGACGGCTACATCGCCAAAGTGCTAGCCCACTCAGTTCAAAGTCACTCTCGCAGGTCTGCAACAGTTATTTGTGGGTCACCAAGTTGCTGATCAACAAAGAACCGACTCTGTTCCAGGGCACGCTTCCTCATGATCATATTGTGGACATCAAACTTCCAGACTTTATGCCTCACAAACCTTCTGTCTTGGTACCACAGCAGGTGCTCTGCCCAGTTATGCAGTGTGGGACACGTCACCGGACGGTTTATGTGGAAATCACCCTTTCCATACTGAAACCAGCAAGGAAATGCTGGTAAAAAAGTAGGGAGTGGTAAACTCTGATGCTGGTGTTGTGCCCATGGTTGGCCAAGGGATCACTGGTCGTTGCACATTTTGTTGTGCTTCTTCAGCCTCACCTTCCAGAGGTTCAGAAACAACTTAATTTATGGTTGCTTCTACTTGTGCTTGCACA